TCTTTTCTGGGAAGGAAACATTTTAGGGTTTTACTTATTTTCAGTCAGCTTTTCCACTTTGCCTCTTCAACAATTCTTAGTGCTTGTTTTCCTTCACTGTTTATTTCTCCAGCTCCCAAAGGATATATGCTTAGCATCTGCAGAAGTTAATCTAGCAATACTGTTTTGTGCACCTCAAATTCATGGGCAAGTGACAGGAAATCAGGGAACTTGGACAATTAAATGACAAACAGGAGGAAGGCCTGGAGAATTGTGAGCTTGTTTGTTTGTGGTAATGAATTAAACCTCTCCCTCCCACCACATCCAGGGAGAGAGATCTCTGTGAAGGGATCTTCAGTATTTTCTCCTGAAAGACTCTGATGGGATGACAGAGAAGTCCTATGAAATAGCACAGGCACAGTGGACCAAACAGCAGGGCACAAAATCCCATATACAAGCAGAGGACTTTCTCTTGGAGCTATCGGGACTCGGGGAATAGGATCCCTGCTCACCACCAATGCCTGGTGTCACGGCTGAGACACTCCCTGAGCAGAGAAGTCAAGCCAGAAGCCCCAGGCAAAAACAAAAGGAGAATTTCATGTTTTGCTACTGCAGCAATCACACAAAGCCTAAAGTTTGCACTAGGTAAACGGTGCTAATCAGGAGAGGAGTCATGCAGAGTTATTTTCCCAGAGTTATTTTTGACAGAAAATCATCTTCTAAATTCAGCTTAAATCCATGGTTAAGGACTGCAAAAGCAGAAGAGAGTTCTCATCCCCACCGGGGGCCATCAGGCAGCCCATCACATGTGACAGTTCTTGTAGTCCAAGTGCAGAGCCACCCCTGAGCCGGAGCACCACGTCACTGGGACCACACCAGGCAGCTCAAGCACAGTTTGTGCCAAGTGGACTTAGGCACCGTCCCTGCCCTCTCAGCCAAATCGGAGGCCAGCCTCCAACAGCCAGGATAATACAAGTTAACCCTTGCAAATGCTCCGGCATGAATTTTCACTCATCCGAGTAAGTGCTGAAAACAAGAAAGCTCTGCCAGCTCTAGCATAGCCCAATGTCTCTGTCTCACAGCTGTCTTGGCTACCAAGCAGACTGAGCCTGTGCAGCAGGGCCAAGTACACAGTCAAGCACCAGCCTTTACTCTTACACAGCACACAGGAAGTTCTGAATCATGCCCCACCAGCCAGGAGCAAGGCGCTGCAGTGGTCACTCCAAGGCAGATAGGAATCACAAGGAGCAGAAGGGTAACAAGCCAGAGAAGCCTCCTATAAATGACAGACATCACTGATGATTAACATTACTCTTCCCCAAGGAATCTTCAGTCACATCAGGCAGGACATCAATCTCTTTGAGGCCTGAGAAAGATGAGCTCTGATTAGAAGCACTGGCAGCACGATCTTGCTAGAAGAGGTACAGGACATATGTGACAGCTATGCATCTACACAGGCATGGCCAGTGCCCTGAGATTATAAGACTTATCCCCCTCCTGGTTTACATGAAAAGACATACAGAGACCATGAAACTGGTTGGCTCCACACTCACTCTTCAACTGAAGGCCGTGTTGTGATGGTTGCCTTCCAGGAGAGAAGTAAAAAGCCCACATTTCCTAGAAAAGGGACTTTGCACATCTCATTTGCCAAACAAACAACAACAATAAATAAATAAACAAAACAGCAGAAGAGGAGAAGAAAGTTCCTCATCAGCCACCAGTGCCAAATTCTCTAGGCAGGAGAGATACCCTTGAGGCCAACACAAGAAAATTGGCTGGAGAAAGCTTTGAAGTATGGGCTCCTGGATGGGCTTGCCTGAAGCACTTGTGTTTATTTGGTCTCCCATTAATGTCTCTCCCCAGACCGCCCCAGGTTCAGGGTGCCCATCACAGGTCCTCCCAGAATCTCCATCACCAATACAGCCACAGGCACTTTAGGACTTTCTGCTGGAAGTTTCCAGATACAAACACCTCTACAGCCCAACTGATCCTCTGTCAGTAATATCCTGAGATAACCATTCAGGCAGTCACACAGACAACAGCAAAGGGGCTGGACTCAGATTCATAAAAAGCAAGGCTACAACGGCAGCAACATCTCCCTACCAGGCTGAACGTTCCTGTTACCTTGGCAACACCGATAACGGTACTTCATTACTTGCAGCCAAGTGGTCTTGTGCAGAAGCAACCATGCTGAATTTGCGATAGGATTACAACAGCTTTTTCCCTTCTCTTGTCCTCCTGCCTTTTTCATTTGTAATTTATGATTCAAATATAATCCTGCAGTGAGGAAAAAACACTTGTCACATCTCTACTCCGAGTAGTACGTAACATTCACACTCATCCCTACAAACTGAAGAGATTTCCCAGTTGCTGCTCAGGATTTGACCATTACAAGCACATGGTCCTCCACACAGCATGATGTTTGCAAGATATCTGACTGTCTGTTCCCACCTCATTCCCTGTCCATGAGAACATTTTCCTGTTCCAATTTCTCCTCATCACAACACAGAGCTCCTTCCTTGCCAAATGTTTTTTTCCCCATTGCCATACACAGGTGTCCTGCATTATTTGCAGGTGAGCGAAGATGAAACAAAGACTGAGTTCCAGGGCAAGACATGGGTCAACAGAGAACAGGCCCTTTATAGGGGTCCTCAAGCAATACCACAATGGAGATAGCTAGACTGAGGATCCTGTCTTGCAGCAGGCTGGGAAGCAACCATACATAGAGTCACAAAAAGCACTGACCTTTTCCAAGAGGTACATCCCATGCGGCTAGCACTGGGGAGACAATGGGAGTTGGGCAAAAGTCACCACCCACAGCCTGCACACTCCATCATGGCTGTTGACAGGACGTAGCGAAGTCCAGCACAGAGCAAGGAGCACAGCAGGCCCCCCAGCAAGGCCCCACAGAAGCCTGCTGGCCTCACACTGAACAGCTTTTAGCAGCCTGCTCTTTTATCTGCCAAGGTTGGGAAATGGCCCAAACACTTCATTCTTTGGCAGCAGGGACAAAAGGCAAGAAAGGAATATCAACCCAAATCTAGCCCAAAACGAAGGAGAGAGGAGCAAGGGCCACAGGAGTAGCTGGGCTGGAGAAAGTCCAGAGAATTGCTACCATCATCGCTTTCCTAATGTAAGGTCTGTTGTAACACCTTGCCCCGGAGCATCTCCTTAGGCCAAGGTGGTCTCTTGCACCTGATTCACGCTCACCATTTACTTCTATGGGCAAGTCCTGAAGATCTGCATCCCAGCCTACACCTATTCAAAACTTATCTGCAATATTTCATCTCTTGGGAGCTGCTAGAACTCTCATCACAGATGGTAGACACTGCTCCAGAGGGACCTGAGGTCCTACCTCAGCAGGTAGGTCCTGCTCCAGAGGGACCTACCAGGGCAGTAACCTGTCCCAGTCCTTCACATCTTTGGCCAAAATCTGTGACAGAGATAGTGCATTGCTCTTGGCTATACCAAGATCTGCTGAACACCCCAGAGGTACACACACGGCCCTCAACGCCACAGCGCATCACCTTCCAAGAAAGACAGCAACTCCTGCCACCCAAGCAGACAGCTCCAAAAACACTGCCAAAGGTGAGGCAAGATTACAGTCCCAGTAGTGATCTCAGGCAGGTAAGCCTACAACAGCCAGCCAGAAAGATGGCCACAGACAGACGTGCATCCCAGCTCATCCCAGTCAGACTGTGGTAAGTCTGGCTGCTAGTCAACATAATACAGAAGGGGTTAGAAGTATCAGTCAAAGCAAGCAGCATATTTGGCCACAAGCCATCCTCTCCCAAGCTCAGTTTGAGGGAGCTGGCAGAGCTGTCACAAACCTTCAGGGCATGCTTTGCCACATACCACAAGGCAATTTGCTCAAATGAGGCCAACGCAGCTAGTATCACATAGAGCAAGCTTCACTGATCAAGGTATAGACTGTAGGAGCATGAGCCTCAAATCAAGAGGGAGCCACATTAGCAGCTCTCATCTGACTGTGGGGAGCAGGCAGAGCACTGGGTCCACGATCTGGTCCAGGCAGGACTGCAACCTCTGAGCAAACATCTGGGATGTTACCAGCTCCTTCAGAAGGAGTAGGGCTCCTCCCTGGGGCTTCCTTCAGGCCACCCAAGGTAAAGTGGTTGACAGTGCTCCCTGTGCCAGCCAGCTCCAAGTCAAGCACCCATTGCTGCATGAGGAAGTGAGTTAGCAAGGAGGCAAGAGTTGCTTCATCTTCTCAACTAATCTGTAAACAGAGTGAGGCTGTGAAAGATGATAAGCACAATGTTCTGGGCCAATTTTATGGTAAGGAGCTAATCCTGCCTGAGGCGCTCAGAGCAATCTCAGCATCTACTGTGTGGTTAACCATGCTTCACTGCCATTAGAAATTAATGCAAGTAGAATTACTGGGGCTAAACTTTTTCTGTGCCAGGTGCTAGCAGTGCTGGGATCTCTGCTTTGGGGATGTCCCTTGTGTTCTGGACAGTCTAGGTGCAGAGCTAGCTTCACTTGGCCGGCCCCCATGGCCCATCTCATGGGCCTTGGTGCTCTCACTTCCCTCTTGCTCCACAGGTCAATGAGGGAAGGCACCAGTATGGAGATCAGTAGCACCACACGGTAAATGTCCCATGAACAAGAGAGAAGGTATCTGATACAAAAATCTTAGTTCTAGCGGAGGAAGGCAGATTGAAACAAAGCCTTTAACAGTATTCCAAACCACTTTAAAAGAGCAAAGCTAGTGCATTAAAAAGGAAAGGAAAAACTCTCAATTCAACCCACAGAAGATATGTAACATGACAGCGGAGAGTGTAGCTGACTCATTGAGGAGCACCAGACAAGCAAGACATCTCAGCCACACGTCAGAAGCAGGAAGGAGTGCTGCAAACTGTCTGGACCCTGCACCATCAAAAAATGCTCTTCCTCTGGCTGATGATTGCAGAGAGCAGTTCCTACGCCCATTTCCAAGTCACCTGCTGCCTCTGAGGCAACTAGAGAATTGCTCGCATGAAAAAGTACAGGAAAGTATGTACCTTTGGGTTAGCTGTCTTGCACGGGGATGTAGCAGCCAATGTGCAAGAAGGACCTAGGACCATACATCCTTGAAACTACAAGTCCAACCTATAAGAAGAGTGGTGGAAGGAGAACAGTGAGCAAACTATAAGTGAAGAGAATACCTATAGCCAGAGGAGCCAATAAACGGAGCCTAGTTGAGATAAATATTCAACAAAGCCTGCCATCTTTTCGTTCATTTTCAAGGAAGTCTTAAGCTCTTGGACAGTTGTCCAGAAAATTTTGGATAAATGCTGAATAAGAAATACTATTTCTTTCAAGGTTAAAAATCACATCTTAGGCACCAATTCCTAGGAGAATGACCATCTCCACAGAGTAAACTACACCAAGGAGACTTAGCCCTTCCCCTTCACTTCTGTCTGCCAATACAGAATATCAAGCCCTATGCGACGTTCACAAGATAGGATACTTGTCCTATCCTAGTGACAGAGGTGAGCCGTGAGGGAGCCGCAGAGAAAAAAACAGAGAGATAAGAGGCTCATCCACAGGATGAAAAACACATTAAGATAGCAGTATTACCAAACCTTCCAGAAGCACTGGGATACTTCCTTCAGTACAAAGTAGTAGCTGGCCTAGGCTACCTACGCTACACCAGTGACATGGCACAGGAAGAATCTCTACTTGCCCTAAACGGAGTTCATGCCCTCGAGTTCTGTACTTGCCCCAGAACCTGATGCTACAAGGCTTGGCAAGTCTTCCCATAGTTGCCTCAAGCAGACAGAGCCAAATTAGTTCCACTCTAATGTGTACGTGCTTTCTCCAAGTCACTTGTGTGTCTGAGCCTGGAGCAGGCAAGTGTTGTTACTGAGATACAAGCAGAAAAGATAAAGGAAAAAAAAAACACCTGGACATGGGCCATCAACCTTCTGCTGCACTTAGAGACACTGAGGTCAACAGCAAAAACAACGGGATCATCGGATATCAAGGCCCAATAATCAGCTCTGCAGGCACTGCAAGGCTCCTAACACCATTAAGCACAGCACTAAGCACAGAGGAGAAGCAGAGGTGGCTTCTTTGCCCTCACCCCACTCCTCACCTCCCTAGCAGACCTCACCCATGGCACTCAACCCAGCTTTGACAGGCCCTCCTTTACCTAGCCCCAGTGGGGACAGCCTTGCTGTTTACCCAGGTTTGTAGAGCAGGAAGCAGGTGAGTTCATCAAATGAAAGAACTGTTAAGATTGGAACGGAGCTTTAGAGATCATCTAGTACAATCCCCCTGCACATGCAGGGTCACCTACAGCATGTGGCACAGGCTGCATCCAAGCGGGTTTTGAAGATCTCCACAGAAGGAGATTCCACAACCTCTCTTGGCAGCTTGTTCCAGTGGTCTGTCACCCTCACTGTCAAGAAATTTTTCCTTAAGTTCCTACAGAACTTTTGGTGCTTCTGTTTATGGACATTCCCTCTAGTCCTATTAGTGGCCACCCATAAAAAGAGGCCGCCTCATCCTCCTCACTGCCTCCCTTGGGGAGACATTGATCAGATCCTCCCTCAGTCTCCTCTTCTCCAGGCTGAACAGGCCCAGCTCCCTCAGCCTTTGCTCACAGGGCAGTTGTCCCAGGCCCCTGATCATCCTGGTAGCCCTGCGCTGGACTCTCTCCAGCAGCTCCACATCCCTCTTGTCCTGGGCAGCCCAGAACTGGACACAGTCTCCACATGTGGCCTCCCCAGGGCAGAGTAGAGGGGGACGATCACCTCCCTCGACCTGCTGGAGACACTCTTCTTAACGCACCCCAGGATCCCACTGACCTTCTTGGCCACGAGGGCACTGCTGCCTCATGTTCAACTGTCGTCTACCATGACACGCAGGTCCAACTCGACAGAGCTGCTCTTCAGCAGGTCAACCCCTAATCTGTACTGGTGTCCGGGGTTATTCCCCTCCAAGTGCAGGACCTTTCCCTTGTTGAACTTCATGAGGTTTCTCACTGCCCAGTTGTCCAATCTGTCCAGGTCCCTCTGGATGGTCCCAGGCTCTGCCTGGGATAAGTCTCCTCTTGCCCCAAGGGTCACTACTGAGACCCATATGCTATCTCTGCAATGGCCAGCAGCTTCCTGAGCTGAAGGAGGGCCAGGGATATCACAGAGATCAGCAGAGACAAGGAAGGGCTGCTATCATGGCAGCAGTTTCACTTCTTCAGAGACTGCCTCTGTCTGGCAAGTATTTTGGGGACTAGAAAAGCCACCTTTCTTCATCCCTTAAGGGGCATGACTGGGCACCCACCAGGCACGCAGGAAATCTCTTACATTCCTGCAGGGCAATAAGATGGGGAATGTGGCCTCATCACATTCTTCCATCTCTGGGGTACCAAAGGCTTACAGAGATGAGCACCTTTCAAATGTTGTCATCATCAGGCAAAACGGATGATCAAAGCTTCACCTCCTTCTATGTGATTTTCACTATCCTTCCACTTAGGACAGTTCCCTTCTGGCTCTGCCACAGCACAGTCCTGCTCAGATATGCAATGAGATAGGAAAGAGAAGACTGCGGGGTTCTCCATGATTTGTTAAGGAGAACCACAAATATGTAGGAAAAGAAGGGATACCATGCAGAACAGGTGCATGATTTTCAAGAAAGGGAACTTACCTCCAAAGAGATGGAGAAAAAAAGGGTGCTCAGACCCAGGAATGGGGAGTCAGCTTTGCAGGGCAACCCCAACAGCCCTTGTCGTACATAGCCCTGGGGAGAAACGTGTCCCGAACACAGCATGATGGATCAACCCAGCACATGGAGCATCTCCTCCCGCAGCAGCACACAAGAATGCAGGGTCACACATGAGTCAGCACTGGAGCTGGGACTACACCTCTGCCTCCCCTAATTCCAACACCGTCCTTCTGGCACCCAAACCCTACAAAAAAAGGGACCAGGCAAGAAACGTTGTCCTTTTCCTTTTGCTTCTTATCTTCCATCAAGCCCTCCTCCTCCTTTTTCAGACCTGCTGCAGACAGAACATACCCCTGAATGTGGCAGAGCTGCAGACCAGGCTGGCACTTGGATCTGCAAAGAGCCTTCCTCAAGGGACGCTCTCTTTAGAAGTACTGGTTAAGAAAACGCTCATAAAAATTAACAAGTTGCCCCGTCAGAGTCAGAAATATCTCTAGCCCTAAGAAGCACATCTGCAGCAGCCCATTTATAGCTCTCTTCAAAGACCTGGCTCCTCCGCCTGCATCCGGACTACAGTCTGCCTCTGCTGCCAGTAAAGCAGTGACCTGAGCCCTTTGCAGTGCGAAGGCAGAATTCAGTCCTGGTGTGAGGAGCAGGAAGCAGTACATTCAGCAGGCCCCCCTTGGTGCACCACCACAGCACACTAGATGATAGCAATGCACTGTAGTCATGCTTCATAGCGATGCACTTTGGTATCTAGGCAAGAGCCCACAATAGGATAGTGGGGTGCAGCAAGACAGCCAGGAGAGCTGTAAGAAAGGACTGAGGAGCCAGTGGAGAGCTGCAAAACATCATCTGATACAGCACACACTGTCCAAAGGCTGGCATTTAATGCCCATTCTCTAAGTGGTCAGAGAAATAAGCAGGTACCACAGACTGGGAATGAGCATTCGGAGATGCTCGGTTCCATACAGGCACCTGGGCTGTTGCAGATCATCAGAAAGCAGCAAAAGCTCTCAATTCACAACAGCTGTCCCCATTTTACAGACCATGGTACCTTACTTTCATTTTGGAGCTATCAACCAAGGTAGTCCTACTGCTATACTCAGGTCCCTCCCAAGGTCAGCTTGCAGGTTAGACTTAGAGCAGAATCCAGATCTCTTCCTCACAGGTAATGCTCCATCCCTGTACCACATTGCCCACAAGATGCCCTGGAGAAAGCTCACAACATAGTTCATAGGAACTGTACTGTGCAAAGACCCTTGTGCAAACTCACTGTGTGCCAAGGTACTGGAACAGAGTGAAGCCACCCAGACAGCGGGGTACCTCAAGGACTCAGAGCCTTCTTTGTGAAGGCCCAGGCCAAGAGGCTGCAGATACCTTCAGGCTCTGCATCAATTTAAATTTGCATCTCAAATCTATTTCTTTCCTTTCCTGTCTTCCGAGCTGCCAGGTGATATCAGCTTACCTGGACTAAGTCTTAGGTTGACCTTGCCCAGCCTTGTCCTGCAGCTGTGGAACTCACACCCCAAACTCAAATTGCCATTGCACAAAATGCAATGTCAAATTTTGCTGGTTGGCAAATATATCACTCTCCCCAAAATTCCTTGCACAAAACGCAACAAAACAAAAACAACAGTGAATCTTCGTGTGAAGTGCAATGTCCCAAGGACAGCTTTGTCAGCATCAAAGACACAGACAGCTGGTAAGAGCCTTTCTGTTGGTAAAGAGGCTGCTACTTAACTCTTAACTAAATATGAAAACCTTGCACACACACACAAACACGCACACACACACACACACACACAACACACACAACCCAATTCCAGTGTCTCGCACTTCAGCAGTTAGAAGGGCAGATTTATGGGCTTCAAAGGGATTTCCAGGTAAATAACATTTCACCGCACATGCCTCTTTCATATTTCATTGCTACTTCTAATCTCTGGCCAGCAGTCAGTGCAGCCATTCTGCACTAAAAAAAGAAATATCTCATATATATATATATATATATATATAAAATATAAACATAAAATATATATGATATGATATTATATATATTATATGATATAATTTATATATCACTCAGCCTTACTGAGTGATCCATTCCAATGCATCAAGAAAGGAGAGGAAAGGCTTTCAAGATAAACTCACGCTGCTTCCAGGGGTTGCTCTCAGTCCTCTGCTCAGGCACAATTCAGAACCTGCAAAGAAGAGGTCATATGTGGTTACCAAAAACATAAATAAATAAATAAATAAAATAAAAATCCTCCAAGGAATGATCACAGACACACAGAAGGACGTTAGCCAGGCATTTCATCACAAGATGGTGCCCTAACTGCTCAAGCATCACATTTAGATTCCAGACAAATTTGCTCGCTAGAGAATTTAAGCTACAGATTACTTTATATGCAGCTTTGCTCTCCGAGAGCACACCATAAAACCAGCACCTTCCAAATAAGCAGGCCTGATCACCACGTGCGTTCAGAGCCAGCTCTGCTAATTTGAGTGATAAAAGCAAGTATTTACTACAGGCGGTACTGCAGGAGCAATGCACCTCCAAGAAGTGAAACAGATACGTCCCTGCCTTGCGCAACCAGTTGCTGCCCAAGTTCTAATTTCAGGGCCATCTGTGCAATGCCTTTGTCTTCTGTCCCTCCGCTTCACCTGCACGACCCCTCCGAAAGCGATAGCCCAGGCCAGTGTCGCCGAGGGCAACATCTGGTGTGCAGGATTTTTATGCTGGGTAATCATGCATGAGCCACAAGGAACCAGCTTGCCTTGCCCAGCCACGGAGAGACTGGCGTCTTCGCTGGTTAAATGAGCAGCTTTAATAGGAAATGGCTAGCTAAACAAATCCTGCAACAGCAGTTTCTGAGCCAACTTTAGATTACAACTACATCAAATGAGAGGAGGGGAGGGGGTGGGGAAAGGATATTCTCTCCGTCCCAAAGAATTGCTGAAGCGCAATATGCTTTACAGTCACAGGAAAAAAGAAGAAATATCCCACAGAGCAGCTAGGATAGGTCCTGCTTTAACAACAAGGGTTAATTTCCAAATGAACCTTCAGCCTGCCCGCAGGCAAAGCTTGTGGATGCATCCATGGGTAAGCGCAAATGCAAAGCAGGCAGGACATTCTGCCAACGCAAAGCACTATAAAATGTTAACTAAAAGCCCCTCTGAATACCCAGCCTCAAGGTCCTATGCCTCACTCGCGCCACATCTCACAGTGATTCAGTGAATCATTTCTCTCCATCATTTCACTCATCAGCTGCACTTAGCACAACACAGCTTGCCCTGCAGGGAGGTGCTAAGAGCAGGCTTTGGCTTCTCGGGAACGACAGATCCACATCAACTTGCTCCAGAATTTGCTCAGTGCACAGAAGTTGCTTCACTTCCTCTGGGACCACAGTCCCCAGGTACTCCAGCAACACTGAGTATCTTCTCATGTTATCTCCTCAGGCCTTAGTACACTAACAGCCCAGCAGCTGGGCCAACTACTGCGTCTGACTCGGGATGTCCCGAATGGTATCAGGATCCTCTGCTCTCTTGTCCAGCAGAAAACCTGCCACATTAAGGCCAGGAGGGGAGTACCTGCAAGGAAATAAATTCACCTTTTGAGTACAGAGAAATTTCATCCCTGAATGCTCTGCATGAGAGCTACAGCTGAAAGAGGGGGGAGATACAACCCTCCATGCTGTGCCCTCATGTGCCATGCTCTTCGACCAGCTTTCTGCCACCATCCCATCAGGAAAAGTGCAAGCTGAGTATGATTAGAGAGCTTCAGTGAGAACCCTATTACATGCTGGAGTTGGGAAACTCTCCAGTGTATCCATATCCACTGGGGATGGATTCTTTTGTAGCCACTTTGGAGACTGGTTTTACTTGCTTTGCTGTCTAGTTGTATTCTTGAGCAGGGCTGGGAGACACCACGAGGCATCCCTACAGCCAAGACCTGGGTATCCAGACAAGTCTGGGGAGTCGGGGATCTTGGCAAGCTTGGCTCGACTGCAGGCTTGCTGCAGCACTCGCTGAATGCCACAGCTGACAGCGCAAAGGCATCTGCAGTAGGCTCCAGGCATTGAGCAACACCCTGCTAAGATGTCAAAACCCAAGCACACCTCCCTCTCTGTTTTTTTTTTGTATCCAAATGAATCACAGAATAGGTGAGGTAGGAAAGTACCTCTGGAGATCATCTGGGTCAACCACCCCACCCTTGCTCTGCAAGGGCAGGTCAACCAGGAGCGTACCCAGTTGGGTTTGCATGCAGACTCTACAGCTACTCTGGGCAGCCTATTCCAGCCCTCAACCACTCTGAAGATTGAGACACTTGCAGCCAGGCACAGGGAAAATTCAAAGACCACAGTTTCACACAGACTTCCCAAGACAGCATTGTTAGCACAACAACAGCCGAGCTGACGCCAACAAGGGCTGCTCTTGCAGCTCCAGTTCTCTGCCTGCTCACACCACTGACAGCAGGCATCACAAGGCCAATGGAAGCCAATCTCAGAGCCTACATGCCTTTGCACTAGAGCCCTGGGTGGGATTTGATCTGAGGACTCCAGCTATCCTTTTAAATCTGAAAACAGTATTTACTCTTACAGCACTCTTACAAGAAGACAGCTAAGCTCAGAACGTGTTCCCCACTCCACGTACAGCAGCGGAGGAGTGCATGCAGACCATGACTAGCAGCACAGGAGCCCAGCATCAGAAGCATAAGGCTACTCTCACATGCTGCTATATACGTGCCAAAATATTACTGATCCCAGCTCCCACTGGGGTGCTCTTTCCCCAGCATCTGCCTCTTTTCACATAAACGCAGCTGCACAGAGGCTAATGAGCCAAACTATAGCCCCAAGAGAAGGCTCCATGAGTAGAAGAGCTCAGCCCTTTCCCAGCAGGAAGGACACACAGATGCCCCAAGAAGTCAAGGTGATTTGGAAGAGCAGACTCAAACACCAACAAATTCTGCTCTCACCAAGATAAGGTTGCACAAATACATAGAGATCTGTTCCCTCCACAGGTGCAGCATGCAAACAAGCTTCCATGGCCCTGCTACTGTTCCACCAAGCTCCATGACTTTTGTGGGTAGATAAAAGACAGATGGCCAATTCATAACCAGCTGTAAGAGCAACAGGCATTTGTTCAGACCCCAAAAAAGAGAAATCATATTGGCAGCCTCAGGTTCCAGGCCCTGCCAGGGCTGCGTCATGTCCACCCTTTGACCGAGCACTGAGAACGTAGTCCCTGAAGGTACGGAGGTGGCACCAAGCACTCCCAGCTTGCCCGTTCTACTGCACTGGTATCTACATGTGTCAAACAAAGCCAGTGCACACTCAATTAGATCCAGACTTTCCTTCCTGTTTTCTGCTGGGAGACAGCAGTAAAGTTTTACCAAAGCTGGCTCCATTTCAGCAGTCTCTGAGCAGGAAGACCCTTTGAGATCAGAGCTGCGGCATCAATTAATATGTTATCACTGAAGTACTCTGAGGATACAGACATCTGGGAGGAAGATGCTCCCCCAACCTTGAAAGTCTGCCTTGCAAACAAGCAGCTCCCCATAACATTCCTGATAGCAAAAAAAAAAAAAAGAAAAAAAAAAAAATGTGCTGGATTGCATCAAGATCTCCTGTTACGCCTCTCCCTCACACCGGTGTGCACACCTTCTCAGTCAAGATGATTGCTCTGGGCTTGAAAACATCCCACCAGTGACCCACCTTGTCACAAGTCCATAGCAAACAGCCAAGCCGACCCTCAAAAAGAGCAAGCATGTGTGTTGGCTGTCAAAGCACTTGCGGGGCTATCTGACTGCATCCAAGAGGCTCAAGCAACTGGTCAACTGGCCATATCCCGGGCAGCAATGCTGGCAGGCTCAGCCGTTCACTGGACTTAGGAGGATGCTGTACATTGAGTCCAGCTTACTGAAATCTAGGCCAACGCATTGCAAAAATGCCATTCAATACAACAAAGGGCAAGGACGGGGTTCACACCGTTCCCCTTGCCTGTTTGCTAGAGCAGAAACATTAACGGCAAGAGAAGCGCAGCAGCCCCAGGGCAGCTTGGCGAGCGTTAAGCGAGGCCCGGGAGAAGTCCAGCTGTGCCAAGCTCCACCCCATGCTGAGATCACGTCAGCTCTGCTGAGCTGAGAAGGAGCAGCCCAGACAGCGCTAGCAATCACCATGGACCACAACATCACAGGCAGTCTGGCCCCTGAGAGGAACCTGGAAAGCTGCAAGCCTGCTGCAGCCAACAACAGACACACAGGAGGCACGTATAAACCCCGGTGCGCTGACCAGTGCGCAACAGTGCAAGATGAGCTACGGTGGAAGATGCCTCATCCCAACAAAAATACAGCATGGGCAACTGCGTTTTCTCCACCTGTAATTCCTTCAGTCTTTCCAATTATGCCTACCACAAAGCAGTCAAAACAGACATCCCACAGCTAACTGCATTTTACTACGAGCCCATCCAGAAAAGAGCTGAAATGTATTTATGCACAACACCAAGGTGACTAGCAGGGATTATGCCGTGCTATCAGATAGCTCACTTCGGTGCCCAGGATGGAAGCCTCAATGAATCTGCAGAGGGAACATGCAGACACACATAGATCCAGAGTCAGATCAGAGCCCCAATAATGTTTTGTCCTGTTCTGGGCAGTCCCTTTGCTGGAAGCTCATCTATCAGCAATTTTAATAAATCTGATCCAGAGGACTACTCTCCCACTTGGAGGCATTTGTCATTTCTCTCTTATCACTGGTGTATTTCCACTCCCAAGGAGGAGATCCAGGTGCCGTACTATCCAGTGCTTGGCAGAAACTCCTGCCAGCAGAAATTGCACTGGATCAATAGCACATGTAATTATGACATTTAATCGCTTCTATCATTCACCAGGGAACTGCTTCCCCAACTAAATACTTAGGGGAGAAACTCCTTCAGAACCCCTCTCAGCACTGCCACCCTTGATACACGTCCACTCAGATCACGAGCCCAAGTAGCTGGACATCTTGGGATGCGCATGGGCAGTCCATCCTCCCCTTCCCACTCTTGCTGCCTTCCCCGTCCTGGTTCCCACCTTTCCCTTCCAGTGCACATACCTGGCTGCCCCTGGCCGAGCCAGGAGGTTGTCTTGCTTCAGTACACAAGATTCGGTGATTACAAAAGGGATGATGTATCTTTAAAAATGCACAATCTGATTCCTGGTCCTTCTGCCCATAGCAAAATACCTTGTGAAATGGCTCATCCTCTTCTCCCACAGAAACATGTTTCCTTCCAAAAGGCTGATATCCCCCCTCCTCAGCCCCTGCTTCTCCCACCATAAAAGAAAAAAAAAAGAGGAAAAAAAAAAAAAGAAAAAAGCTAAAAATATCTTCTGAAAGATATTCAACAGAACAACAGACTCGCAGCAAAACGAGGTGGGAAGCGGCTGCGAATGTGTTAAGATCCTCTTTAATCTCTTCCCAGACACCTAAAAATCCACCAAATGCAGTAAAAGAGACCTCAACATTTTCTTTGTGCAGCAAGAGAGATGACTCCACCCTGTGTTTTTCTCTCCATCTGATACGCAGAGAAGGACACCAGCACACACATCCCTGCTCCGCTGCTAGGCGGTAAACAGGGCTGAGACAGTGGGTTACTAGGCACAAAGACACGAGAGCAGTTGGTGGGTGGAATCTGGCAAAAATGCTGTGCCGTAAAAGCCTCATTCAGGATCAGCTCAAATCCAGGACTCATTCTACTCTACATCAGCAGCTGATCCAAATTTTAAACTTTTTTTTTTCAAGATCTTGCAAAGGGGTATCAGTCTAGGGGAGCCAAATGGGGAGCAGGGGCCATATGGGACAGCAAAGCCCAGATAGATCACCAGAGGGCCTGATTATAGCCAGTGGGTAGAAGGCTGAATCCTGAATAGGGAATGGATCAGATATTAAACTGACACCACATTTCTGTCCACAAAGAGACCAAACGCTTGAGTAAAACTGCTGACCTGCTGGAAAATGCAGATCTGCAGCTTCAGCCTCATTTGTCTCGTGTTTTGAGCACAACAGGGTCAGCCTGGTCCCCTCTGGACCCCACAGACTGCTGTCCAGCCTGGCTGATCACAGGAGACCTGAGAGGCCATTCACTCCAGCCTGGCTCCTCCCAGGAAGAGAGGCTCCCGCTCCAGGAAACCCAGTCCAGTGCACCCACAGGGTAGGCACTATTGCCCTTTGTAGGCAGAAAGGCAGATCACCAGCAGAAGATGGAAGCAAATTAATCTTTCAGACCATTATCTTTCTGATTTTCAAGGTGTGCTACCCCAGGCAGCAAATCTGGGGACATGCACATGTAAGCACGTGTGCCCACTCACATACTCAAGGCTATATGATTGTTAATTCAGAGCAGTCCTAGGACAAGTAGCCATGAAGTAGTCGCACCAAAGCTCACATCCGGGGCTCTAGAAGGAGTGACGCCTTCCACACACAGTCCCGTATTTCCCTCTCTAGCACAAGGACAGCAAACTTGGCAGTTTGCAGTCCCTGTGTAGAGCTCAGCCCAACAGCGCTTGGCCCAGCTGCTGACAAGGGAGAGGAATCACGGGTCTCCATCAAAGGTAGCCTCCACCCGGGGTCCTTCCCATCTTCCACAACCCAGACAAAGCAACATGCATGAGAGAGACGGGTTCACTTGGCAAACTACCTGCCATCAGTAGCAGTAGCAGCCCAAGGCAAGAGAATTCATCCCACTGGAAAAGGAGCTCCCAAGAGAATAGGGATGACCCTCCAGTTTGTGCAGCAAAGCACAACTTCCAGGCTCAAGAGGGAACACGAGCCAACACTGAGTATACGAGCTATGACTCCAGGCTTGAACCCCACCACGGCGATACAAAATGAATGGCACAGAACCCAGGGCAGGATGGGCCACCCAGGACTAGGATGGGCCACCCAGCCTTTCCTAACCAGGACTTCAGGCAGATTTCCTATAGATCTTGCAGATCTTCCCAACCCTGCCACCCCAGCCCTGATAAACCAAAACCTGCTGACTCAGAGCCACCTGACTGCTCTAATGAGAGCAAAAAGCCATGCAACACACATCACTGTCAGAGCCTCGGTGGAAGCACATTTTTATACATTGCATTAGAGTCAGATCTCTTGTCGTTTTGTGCTTCTTTCACGTCTACATTCAAAACAAAGCTTGAGACTTCAGAACAGGCTCAAATTTCCAAGTGACAGGCACCGCACAGAAGTCTTAGCAAAAGGCCATATAGTGAAAGCATCAACACGCACCATGCCTGGTCTCACCCCTGCTCCTCACACATGCTTCACCAACGTGTCATTCAGGCATCATATCCCTATGCGAAGGGCACCAGCAAAAGCTCACTCTTTTAAACCTGAATAAAATGAGGGCCAAGGCCAACCAAGTGATCCCTGTGAGTAACGGCAGGAAACACAGGAGTGAGGCCGGGAGAGGAAAAGCCCTGCTCCCTGCTCTTTCACCAACAGGCCACTCGCCATGACTTCCTGATTTGGAAATGTTCACCATCTGTCAGAAAGACTTGAGAGGCAAAATTCGTCAGGCACTAGACTGGATTGCCTGTTCCTGAAAAACTCCTCTAATTATGCAAAACTGCTCAGTGACGCTACCGAAAGGTGGAGTGTCAGCAATATGCAGACTATCCCATCAGTGGTCTAAGCAGAAGGCATGAAAGGCTATTCTGTGAGTGAAAGAAAAAAAGCTTCATTGCCACCCCACGACCAACGGTCATTATCCAAAGCTTAATAGGAATTTGGTGTTCTGGGAAAGCAGTACTAATTTTTCAAAATTTCCCCATTCTACGTTGCAATATCGTCCAAGCTTTTTTCAGCTCAGCCCTCCACTTTGGTTGCCCATGCATCACATGCCCAAGAGACATGCACCCCACTGCTGGTGTATTGGGGGCAACAGTGGCAAGAGCCTGCGGAATGGGAACTGAAATCTTCACCTTTCACATGCCAGAGACAGATTCTCTTCCACAGACAAGTTTGGTTTTTTTTTTTTTTTTTTTGACCATAAATGCAACAGTGGGCTTTAGAAATCCTTCTTAGAAGCTTTGTCCGAAACAAAACATTTTTGAGTGTCAGAAAAAAAATTCTCAAAATCAATAGAAATCAGAATTCTAGACAGTTCTAGATACACACACACAAAAAAAATCAATGTGCAACCAAATCCATGGAGGAAAAACATGCATCCTCTTCAGCCAAAGACAGCCTGCTGTCAGCACAAACACAACCTCTGTGCTGCCAACCCAGACCAGCATCCAACCTTCCCAAGACACTCAGGGCACTAAAGATCACACTCAGGGCTCTGCTATTCGCAGCAACATCTTCTTTAATGACAGCTAACCCACTGCTATGCAAGGTTGCTGCTGATGCAATAAGCAGAACCAAATGATTAAAAGAAATGAGACACAAGTACTCTCTTCCCATCAGTGGCTCCAGAAGCAAAGGGAAGCAGGAAAAGGTCCATCCTGGACACAAAAATAAGCAGCCGCATGCAAGGGAGATAGCATTCACCACCCACAGGCAGGGCCCATCAGTCAAGGCAGGTATTGATCCTTTGATACCAAGCACAGAGCAAGTTCCGCATGCCCCTGCACAACAGGGAACACTTCAGCATAAGGACAGAAACCATAAACACGCTATCCCCTGCAAGCATGAAGATCTGGCACAGAGCTTGCCTTGTGTCCCCTGCCAGGGCTGAACACAGCGTTCAGCAGAGCCTTCACAGCCTAGGGATCTCGTCGGGAGCTCCATGCAAGAACTACACCGACAGGCTCCAGCCAAGTCAGACTGAGGCCAAAAAAATACAATTATAGAGAAATTCCCTTCGTACCATGCTCACTGCCCAAACTCAGCTCCCCTTAGCTTACGCTACGAAATCTCCAAACTCAGGTGAAGGCAAAGCAGACTTGCTACAAGAAGCCACCAGAAGAACTCCCCAGCCTGCACAGTCATAGTATAAGTTGAACATGCAGCCTGGGCAGCTGGAGTCAGTGATATCTGACAGTTTCAGAGTCCTACAGTGGGTTGCAAGAGAGGGAGATGTCTGCAAATCAGGCACCATTTCAGTGCAGGAGCGAGGCGGATGCACAGCCCTCTCTCTAGAAGGATGCTGGAAAAGCCACACCTTTCACAGCATTTCAGCCTGGCAGAGAAGAGGGTTCTGATCAGGAGTCCCCTCACACCATTTACCGGTGAAGGAAATGAGGCTTTGCAATCATCTGCTCCTGGAACACATCACAAATACTCGACCGCCCATTGTTTGTCCGTGGAAGGGTCCGTAAGGCAAGAGACCAAAAGACTGGCCGGGCGTGCAGGAGGGAAACAATACCGCAGTAGAAACAGCAATAGAAATTGTCCATTTCAGACAGAAACCACAGAGAGAGAGAAGAGAGAAAAGGGCTACGGAGGTCCCCTATTACAATCTCCTGGGTAACCAGCCTGCGGAGAAAATGCTGAGCTCAAGGATACCTCTAGAGCCCACCTCCCGCCATATGACGATACTCCAAAAATAACCGCAGAAATATGCGAGGACTCATTCCAAGTTGTTCCTGGCTCCCTGCACATTCTCCTTCTAATGTAAACCATCTCCTTGAAAGCAGCCCCACGGTTAGGCGCTATTAGGAGGAGCCGTGGGCGCCGGGGCCGGCTCGTCCCCACGGCGAGCTCGAGCTCGCACACCGGCCCCCGACACGCGGCGCGGGGAGGCGAGCGCGGGGCCCGCTGCCCGCCGCTGCCCCGAGCCGGGAAGGGAGCGGGGCGCGGGCGATCCTCCCGGAGGCAGGAGGGCTGCGCCGAGCCCCGGCAGCCGAGCGGGGGAGGCCCGGCCGCGAGAGCCGCCGCCGCGCGGG